CAGCAGAGAAAGCACATTCTGTTATCATTTGTGGAAATTTTCTGGAATATACCCATGTCATATACTTCCTTCTCTTTCACCAAAACTCAGTAACTTGAGTTACCAGCAATGGATATAAGGAAAACTTTCTGCATTCTGGGTGGCCATGGGCATAGGTAAAATTTTGGTAGTCTAATCTTATTTAAGAAGGATGAACTAGATTTTGGAGAAAAGTATCAGTTGACAGAAGTCAGATCATGTGCTGTATTTTAGGCTTATTGAGACTTCTGTCTCATTCTATGAGAAATAGAAAGTTATTGAAGTGTTTTTAAGAGTAGCATGATCAATTTTCATTTAGAAGAGATTTCTTTGGTTACAGTATGGGGAATACATTTGAAAAGTGGTGTGAAATACAGGAGTAGATATTAATAGAAGACTTGCAGAAGTTCATGTGATGGTAAATAGCTTGGAAGTGAATATGCATAATTAACAGATTTGGGTGTAGTAATACTTAGGAAGTAAAAGAGTTAGCACCTTTAGTATGTAATGGATTGGATGTGAGAATGGAGGAAGGTGTATCAATGATGTCTGTACTTTTCTTTTTTCTTTAAAAAATGCATTTAAGTTACACAGAATGAAACTTCAATAATGTTTGATTGATGATACACACAGTACCATTTGTTAAAGACAGTCATTTCTCCAATGTGTATTTTTGGTTCTTTTGTATAGAATCAAATGGTTGTAGTTGTGTGAGTTTGTTTTTGTGTCCTTTTTTTCTACTTCCTTGGTCTGTGTGTCTTTTTTTTTTTTTTTTTATCGGTACCTTGCTATTTTTGTTACTAAGGCTTTGTAGTATAATTTGAAATTAGGTAGTGTGATGCCTCCAGCCCTGCTCTTTTTTTGTTAGGATTGCTTGGCTACTTTGGGTCTTTTGAGCTTCAATATAAATTTTAGGATTGCTTTCTTCTAGTTCTCTGAAGAATGTCACTGGAATTGTGATGGGGATCCCACTAAATCTATAGATTGCTTTTGGTGACATGGTCATTTTAGCAGTACTAATTCTGCTGATCCATGAATGTGGGTGGTCTTTCCATCGTCTTGTGTCTTCTTCAGTTTCTGTGTTCAGTGTACTGTAACATTCTTTTAGAAGTCCTTTACCGCAGGTTAATTCCTAGGTATTTCATTTTTATATATATATGTATTCTTTGAAGTCTTTTTCTTTATTGGTACATTCTAGTTATACATAATGATCACATACAACATGAAAATTTGTACCTGTACATGATGTAACTTGGTTTTTACAAAAAACTGTTTCTGTGTTTTTCTTTTTTCTCTTTTTTTTTTTTTTTTTTACTTTTCTCTTCTTTCCTCCGTCCTGCCCATCTTTCTCGTCACCTTCCCTTTGTGAACTTTTCTACTTATTTCACAATACCTATTATATATTTTGGTCCTTATTTATACTTTTAGTTTCTCACACCAGAAGAAACAATCCGGTATT